TTAGGGGTTAGGGGTTAGGGGTTTAGAGTTTAGGGGTTAGGGGTTTAGGGGTTTAGGGTTTAGGGTATGCGTAAACTTGAGTTGGCGGTGTCGTGCCTTACACACACACACACAGAGAGAGAGAGAGAGAGACAGAGACAGACACATAACGTCATTGAAGTCATCAAGCTCTTGGACACAGGGGTGCTTCAAACTTGCCGTTTCCTCGCACATCCCGGGCCACTGCTCACGCGATCTCAAGGCATTTGCGAAGGCTCAGTAATAAACTCCTCTTGAGGCCCTGAACCCTAGACTCTACGGCCCTGCTAGGTTTCATGGGGTTTGGCTTTCGAGTGCGGGCTTTAGGTCCGATCTACTGAGGCCGTGAGCTCGGGCTGCCCATCCAGCAACGTCTTCAACATGAACTTTGTGTTTAATCCCGTGACGCAGCAGATGGCCCCTCGTCTTCTAGTGGGCCAGGTCGGGTGGTCACTCATTCGACGCTGAATCCTTAGACCTGAAATATACAAACCCTGCATATAAACCCCAGAAACCTTAAACCCCAAACCTGAAATATACAAACCCTGTATATAAACCCCAGAAAGCTTAAACCCCAAACCAGAAATATACAAACCCTATAGATAAACCCCAGAACCCCAAACCCTAAGTTGACTCCTTAGGCCTCAAAGTCTCTTGTGCGTCTGAGTGCTCGGGCCAGCCAGGATCCCCTTCGAGGCTGATCCCTCCCACTGTTGATGATATAACTCCTGCATGACCTTGAGGACCCTAAACTATGGGAATTCTGGTATATTCCTTATTATGGGTAGTGCAGGATTTGTATCATCAACCGGAGTTTAAACCCAAGGAAACCCACCGCCACATCTCTGAAGCCCTAAACCCTAAACTTGGGTTTAGGGTTTAGGGCTTTGGCCTTAAGCCCGAAACCCGAAGCAATCCCCAATACACTGCAAAGCCCTGAAGTAAGGAATTAGGGCATCCTCCTTCTGATTCACGAGATACTGCTAGATTACAGTATAAGGGGCTTTCGGGGCTTTTTTTCCCAAACCCCACACCATACTCTTCAACTCTAAGACGTATGCCCTAGACTTCAGAGCCTGAATGGTAAACCGCAAGCTTGAGCGCTAAGCCCCAAACTTAAGCCAAAACCCACTCCAAGCTTCAACCCCAAACCCTTTACTTAAACCCAAAGCCCCAAGGAGGAGTCTTAACCGTCTTAACCGCTTCTTGAGGAGACGGCGCCCTTGAATGAGAAGATGGCCTGTCTCTCCGGGTCGCCTGGCATCCAAATCCCCAGTAATGAGCCGCCCTGCGTCCCTCGTTAGGGGTCTTCATGGTAAGGGTCGTAAGGGTAGTGTTCCTTTACAGACAGGGAAGTTCTGTCGCCCCCCTCTATCTATCTATCTATCTATCTATCTATCTATCTATCGGTTAATTAACTAATTATTTTTTTAATTAATTTGCTTGATCTAATTTAGTTTATTCGTATTAATTCATTCAATTAATTAATTACAAGTAATTAGTTAATGAATTAGTTAATTAATGAATTAGTTAATTATTTAAGTAATTAATTAAATTAAACTAATTAATTCATTAGTTAATCACGAGCGACCCCAGGATTCCAGCTTGCTTTTGTGTGTCAACAGACGTATTGAAATCCACTGGTTTAAGGGTTTAGGGTTTAGGGTTTAGGGTTTAGGGTTTAGGGTACTACATGGGCGGTGAGGTGTTTTGCAGTTCAGGCTTGCGGGTCTGGCATAGGGGCCATGCGGTTGATGATATAAATCCTGCATCAATATAGGGGCCTAAATAATTACCTATACTATTTTGGTGGCTCCTTATTGAAATTATAGTATAATGGGCCCCAAAACCCTATTCTAATTATTAAGGCTTCTGCATTACCCGTCATAAGGAATATACCATAGATCCCATAGCTTACGGCCCTGGAGCTGATCCAGGATTTATATCATCAACAGTAGTACTTAGAATAGGCTGTTTTGTGGGTGTGGAGTGGGGGGGGGGTTGGGGTGGATATATTATAGTATACTTACACAGGGATGATCGGAATTACAGGTGAATCCGTGATGCCACTGTTTGCCACTTATGCAGAGACCGCATTTTAAGAACTCCGTGGTTCTTAGTTCTTACTGTAGGTCCCCCAGTATGAGCCTTACGGCCCCTCTACTTCTTTGGGCCCTCTTCTTAACCCATAAAAAGCAAGCCAGAAGATGGGCGGCCCGATTGTAGGCTCCGAAATATTTAATTTAATTAAGGAAGATACCCTGAGCTATACTTGATGAGGCGCGCCCAAGAACTTAAGATGCATTTCCTTATTTCAGGGCCTTTGAAGTGAAGAACCAAGCCGATTTAGGGTTAAAGGCAAACCCTGAGCTTTGCCCTAAACCCTAAACCTTAAACACTAAGCCCTGAAGGGTTGTTCCTAAACCCTGAACCTTAAACCCCAAGCCGTTTAGGAGTTGTTTGCTTTGTTTTTTCTTCTTTTTTTTTGGCACTTGCGTTGAGGCTCCAGGGTCGGGCCCAGGTCTTGGGCCCTCAGACCAGGGCTTGGGTGAGGGATCTCTTCCCAGAGAGCCCGATATCCCTTAATTTAAGGGAACAGACCTGAAAATCAGAAGATTAAGGCCCCCTATAAATTGGGATCTCTGTGTGGGCTCCAGGATTCTTGGATGGGATTTAGGGTCTGTAGTAGGGTTTTAGGGGTTTTAGGGGTTTAGGGGTTTAGGGGTTTAGGGTTTAGGGTTTTAGTTAGGGATTTAGGGGATGTAGGGGGTTTAGGGTTTTAGGGTTTAGGGTTTAGGTTAGAGCCTTACGACCTAGGCGTTTCGGATCTAGGACAAGTAATCCCCTAAACCCTTACTTAAGGAATATACCTTAAATCATAATATTAGGGCCCGATATACCGTAAATCATAATTTTTGAGGGCCCGAATATTCCTCATTTAAGGGGTATTGGGTTCTCTGGGTAGTCCCCTAAACCCTGAACCCCTACTTTTTGAACCCCCAGACCCTGAACCCTTGTCGTGCTGTACATTATGGCTAATGGTTCATGTTACTTTGACAAAGCAGACAAAGCCTCCGAACCTACGTAACAAAAATATGTTATGTTTCTCTTCATGGGTTCCAGAAGATCCTCTTGAAGAACATTTATCAGAAGCTTCAAGGGTGCCTACACCTATTCCTTATCTCCCGACACCCGACTGTGTGGTTAGGATCGCCAAGAAGGAGCATTGGCTTATCGAGGCAAGGGGCTACCTCATGGAGGGCGGGGTGCTCTTCGAGTGGATCAAGCTAGCGTAGGGGCTTGAATGGCTAGAATAGGGTGCTGGGGTATACTATAAACAGCCGCGAGTAGTTCGTGTGTGTGTGTGTGTGTGTGGGTGGGTGGGTGGTGTGTGCACACGTTTTGGCAAAGGCCCATCTAATATCACCCTAAACCCTAAACTCCCTAAACCCTAACTCAACTCTACGTCAGGCCTGGTTTGGCCTCCTTTTCTCTGCCTTCCGTGCTGCGGCTGGGAGTGGAGACGCACATAAACCCCTAAACATCTGACTGCTTCTCATTACCGAATCCATATAGAACCCCTGTAGAACCCTTATAGAACTCTTAAAGAACGCACCTTTATAGAATCCACACTGAACCTGCAATACCACCACAATCTGACCCCCGCCAAAACCCCTGACTTGTTGAGAGGCCCACGAGCTCGAGGTCTTTGAGAAACACGAGCTTGGTCGGGGAGGATTCCTGGGTGGGGCTTTGGGGTTTTGGGTGTAGGGTGGGCGTTGGGGTTTTGCGGCGTAGGGTTTACGCGTCCACTAGCTAATCCGTGAGGCTGCCTACAAGCCGGGCGTGTTGCACTGTGTGGCTTTGAGCATCGAGCGCCACTGGCATTTTCGAGTCTTGCTAGGCTGAACCCCAAAGCTTAATGAACATCTGCGCCCAGTCCGGGCAGGATTCGGAAGGGTCGTCGTCGGACGCCTCCACGGCTTGCCCGTCGCTGTAAAGCCGCTCGCAAGGTATGTGGGCCTTCTTCGGGTGTGCTTGGCATTTTGGGCTCCAGATCTTCAGGGTTTAGGGTTTAGGGGTTCAGGGTTTAGGGTTAAGGTTGTACTAGGGCTACGGCTAGGTCGAGGTGGCGCAACACAGATGCATCAGGAGCAGTCCTCCTCCCATGCTGACCTCCGAATCAAAAGCTCCAATCCCGGCACAAGCCGCACAGTATGCCGTGCCTAGAGTGACTTGTGCATGCGTGCTCCTGTCAGCAAGACTTGACGCAGACTGTGTCCTCATCTCGACACATGTCCAACCATAAACTCTAAGCGCCGACAACCCACGCGGCTCTACAGCCTTCGAGGCCATCTTGCCTACAGAACTCCCTAAACCCCTAAGCCCCTAAACCCTAAACCTCTAAAGCCCTAAACTCCCTAAAACCCCTAAACCCCTATAAACACCTATAAACCCTATAAACCCTTAAAGGAACCCTTTAAAGATAACCCTAAAGGAACCCTAAACCCCTAAACCCTCATCTTAGCCCTATACCCTTATGGATCCCTTACAGGAACCCGTTAAAGATAACCCTTAAACGGAACCCTGAACCCCTCCTAAAACCCCTATAATCCCTATAATCCCTAGAATCCCCAACCCCTCTCTTTACTTAGCCCTAAACCCTCTAAACCCTAAACCCCCAAAACCCCTATAATCCCTATGTTCCCTACACCCCCTCTCTCTTGTTTCAGAGCCGCCCGAGGATGTCGAAGTCGGTGAAGGCGTTGCGTGGAATCAACTCCTTGGTCAACGACCCCTGGCATAGGAAGATAGGGCACAGTATAGGGTTCCTTAAAGGGGATCTATAAGGGTTTCTGTAACGGAATATACCTTAAATTATAGGGGCCTACGACCCCTGGCATAGGACTCTACTATAGGGGCTCTACTATTTTGGGGGGTTCCTTATTATTATTATTATTACTATTATTATAGCACTATTCTAATTATTAAGGCCCCTGGCATAGGACTCTACTATAGGGGCTATACTATTTTGGAGGTTCCTTAGTATGATAATAATAGTACTATTCTAAGTAGTATAATGGGCATTAAAACCCCTGGCATAGGAAAATAGGGCCTGTAGGGGTTTAGGGGTTTTAGGGGTTTTAGGGTTTAGGGCCCCACTACAGGGGCCTAAATAATTACCTATACTGTTTTGGGGGGGTTTCTTTTTATTAGGATCTTAAGCCCTTAGGGCCTGGCATAGGATCTGGGGGGGTTTCCCAAAGAATAGGGTACCTTATTTTGTGGTCCTTATTGTGAGGGTCCTACTATTTCGGGTACTACATTAGGGTCCCCTATTTTCGGAAACGCCCATCTAGGGACCCCTTGAGTTTGGGGTTAAGGGTTTAGGGTTTAGGGTTGAGCTACCCATAGGCCGCAAAGCAGTTCCTTTTTGGGGTTACCTTATAGGATCCTAAATGTAAGCCACAAAAAGGAACTACTTAGGGGCCTATGGGTAGGGCCCTCTTGAGTTTGGGGTTAAGGGTTTAGGGCTTAGGGTTTAGGGCCGGGTTTAGGGTTTAGGGTTGAGTTTAGGACTTAGGACAACCCTAAGCCCTTAAAACAAAAATCCCGAAACCCTGGTTTTTTGGGTGGCCCGCAAATTGAGGCTATAAGGGGGCAGGTTCTTCCCGTCGTTTCGAGTTCATGTTCGCTTAGTTCGCCAACTTTGTCAGGGTTTCAGTCTTACAGATGCATCTGTCTGCTAAGGAGCTACGAATCTTCCGGCGGCTTCGCCATCCAAATATTGCAGCAGGGCCAGAATTAGCCCAGATCTTCCTCAGGGTGCCTTCTTATGCTTATAGTGGACCCCAAAGCCTAAACCCTAAACGGGGATTATTCCGCATAGGGGCCTTCATCACTAGAAAGGGGTTGCTCCCCTCGGGCCCCCAAAAAACAACCCTAAACTATTCCACCGTCGACTGCGGTTTTCGGAGCATCTTGGGGCCAAAAGGCTCCAGCCACACCACCACCGAACAAAAGCAACAGTTCGTAATGTCTTTCATGCCTTAGGGTTGTCTGATAAGCTACAACTAATGATAGAAGAGAGCTCTTAGTACTTTGGGGTTCCCAACTATGCATCTAGCACAGAAATTCCCCCAAGACCTCGGACCACCCTCAACCCCGAATACTAACCTCCCTACTGTGAACGGCGGACAGCACGACTCCTCTTGCATACTTGAGCTAGTCGATACCGATCTCGGTACAGGACATAGAAGCACAAGCAGAGTCAAACCCCACACTCTCCCGGGCTTACCGTTAAGCCCTAAGCCCTAAACCCCTAAACCCCTAAACCCTAGACCCCTAAACCCTAAACCCCTAAACCCCTAAACCCTAACCCCCAAACCCCTAAACCCCTAAGCCCTAAACCGCTTAGGTCATGTTTCACGGAGCACGCATCGATATTGCTGCTGGTCTCTTGGCCTTTCCGAAGCGAGCGCCTAGCACCCGAAGCCTCCGAACCCCAGGCCCGAGACTGGAAGCTCTTAGGGTTTAATGGGGGTTTTAATGGGGGTGTATTAGGGTTTATTAAGGGGAAATTAGGAGTTTATTAGGGTTTATGAGGGTTTATTAAGGGTTTACTATGGTTTAGGAGGGTTTCTTAGGTTGAAAAAAGACTCTGGGGTATAAGCTCGATTCTCGGCCCGAGGCTCTTTGAAATCGCCCCCAGGAAATGCCATTTGTTATCCCTTTTTTCTCCAAACCCGAAGTGCCACACCCGAGAGTGACCCATGGAAACGCCATAGCGATCCTTCCGGACACCTCTTTAGGAAGCCCCATAGCAAGCCTTCTGAACCGCAGCCCACTCAGTTCGGGTACGCAGTTCGGGAGGAACCCTAAGCCCCTCAGCGCCAGCAGTGAGCCTGCTGAGCCCTAGAGCCTGTGCTTCCCTGGTATCAGGCGTTTCCTGCAGAGCTTTTGCGAAACTGCTGCACTCCCAGCTACTGAACAAGCCTAAACCCTTAACCCGCAACCTCGCTGAGGAGAGCTGATGATCGTGGAGGAGGCGGTCCCAGGAGACCCCAGCCGCTGAGAGAGTTTGCTGATCAGCAAGGATCTGGGTGAAGTGGGTTCCCGTGGGTGGGAAGAAAGAGGGCCGCACTGGCTCCGTCGAGAAAAGGAGTATTTGGAGGCCCAAATCAAGACCCCAAATGGTCGGATTCTCACTAGCAGGGAAACCCTAAACCCTAAAACAACATAACTTATCAAGTTGTATAACATCCCACCGCTTTGGGTTGAGCTGAAAAAGACTCGACACGTAGCTCAGTGCAGCCCCAGGAGTGACTCTGGCGGAGCTGATTACACCTCCACCCAGTCCAATACGAACCAAAGCGAGCTGCTCTTGCTGCAGACTGGGCTTGGGGGTTTGGGGTTTAGGGTTTAGGGTTTGGGGATGGGAAGGAGGGATCTAGAAGCCTGTTGTCTCGTGTCTGCTAGATGTGCTGCTGTTTGTTCTCTTCCACTTGTATGAGAAACTGACTCCTGCTCAAAGCTGATCGAGGGCTCACAGTTCCTCTCAGGGCACACCCGGGCCCAGCCCTCACCCCACTCAGTTCCGAACAGTCTGGGTGATGTACCAGTTTCTGTACTGCAAGGATATACTTGAAGGCGAACAAGAGTTTGTGAATAGACATTGACATTGATAGCTGCTGCAGCATGCTGGGAGAGCTGTATCCAAATTGGTAGCCTCGGAAGGTTAGCTTAAAATGCGTTATGGAGGTGTGTGTGCTTTCAGTAGAGGCGCAAAATCTTGCAGGCAGCAATGAGAGCAACATAGGCTTTTCGTGGCAATGTCAGCTCATGGCGGTCAAGTGTTGCACATCAGTGAGATGTGGCTTCTAAGATGCTGAAACCTCCACCCTTGCACCCTATGTTGGTTCTTGGACTTTTGGGCCATTGCATGAGTTTGGTTGTGAACCCCAAGCCCTAAACGACCTAAACAAAACGCGCAAAAGTACGAAACACCTTGCAACCCCAGCATCACTGAACACCGCAAACCCTAAACTCCCCAAGGGACCGGACTACTTAGAGGATTCTCAGACTTAGTAAACTAGAGTTTTTAAGCCAGGAAGTAATATAATATAGCTATAATTGATAGTTGATACTAGGTCACCAGATATATAAGGTACCTATAGGCATTGAGTGGTTTGAGGGACATGGGAGCATTAGCCTATCCTGGTCTCCCTTCAATATACTTCAGGGTGTTAAATGCCTGGAAAAGGGTCGAATTGGCTTCGTCTAGTGGCCTTAACTATTTACAACAAGATTTTGGCGTACTTTACAGTACCTGCCATAGTATAACTTTACAGTGACAAGAATGGGGAAAGCAGAACAAGGGGTAGCGCAGAGCCTGGAGGCTTTCTTGCCATGGTGGGGGGTACGAGCTTTCAATTTTGGCTTTAGGGTTTAGGCTTTAGGCGTTTAATTGGTGTTTTAGAGTTGGGATGGAGAGTTCAGGGTTCGAAGACATCCTTGCTCCCAAGTTCCGCTCACCTTGCCTGCTCGTCTAAGAACTCAAGGACCTCCAAAAGCCAACGATGCACACACGCCCAATGAGAGGCAGTAAATTAGGACCCTAGACCCTAAACCCTGAACCCTGAACCCTAAACCCTAAACCCTAAAACCGAGCCCAGGGCGGCTCCTCCTGCTCCGGATCTGCAAAGCCCTTCGCTTTCTTCATCTGCAGACTCCGTCCATCATGCACGGAGACCTGAAGCTTGCCTCTCAATCCTCCTGTTCGCTTCTGCCCCATAAGAGAAAATGGAAAGCCAAGCATTATCCCCAAGCCAAGAACCTTAATACACGGATCATGGGGTATCGTTCATCCATTAAGAGAAAACGGTCATACATACATAAACAGATCTATACCATGCTTGCGGGGATTTAGGAGCCCATGTTGACGCGGACTTCTGCAATCTCAACTCTGGGGCGCGGATTGTTGGTGATGCTTTCCCTAAGGGTTCCGTGGTATGTCTTTTGTACACAGCCCCCGCAAAACCTGGGTCAAACTATGCAGGACTCAGGGTTTACGATTCAGGGGACCCCACGCTACAGATTTCGCAGTGGAGGCTGCTTTTATCGAAGCTCTTGGGGTGTTTTGTCGGCGAGGCTTTTGTTGTCGAAGCTAGCAGCTGTTGGGGTAGTCTGCAGGCAGGAACTTCCTTTGTGCCGGCTTTGGTGAAGTCTTGGCCTGCACGACTGTTTCACGCAGCAGGGGAGGTGCCAAACAAGATCCCAACTTCGATGCCTTCACCCTCAAACCTCGAAATAGGTTTCCTCGGAAAGAATCTCTCGTTCTGCCTCTTGAAAAGCTGTTATTTGTAGGTCAAGGAGTAGCATTTGGCAACGGTCCTTTCCGCGGATAGCAAGTAGTCGTGACTGCTGCTTTGACCGACAAGAAGCGAACGCTTGTCAATTGGCAAACAGCAATATAGGGGTCTGGATAATGAGTAATAATTCTCCCATACTCGCATGTGCCCCACCGCCCTATTCTACATTTTCAGGTCCCTAGACTAGTCTTTTTTTGCAGACGGTGGCATGGGCTAGGTACCTACCTTCTCCACACTGTAGTCGCATTCAGCTGTGTCTACTCAGTTTCGGGCCCAGCAAGGCAAAATTCAGCGAAGAAGAAATAAGATCTTTTGTTGCGACCCGAAGAGTCCAGGGATGTTTTCTGGAATGTCACGCAGACACCTAGTTCACAAACACCCTTCCCTCAATCGCCTTAATGCCATTATCCTGTTATGAATCATTACCCTAGTTGCCAAGAAGTAGGCCACGGAAGACTCCGGCCCGGTCCATAAGAGGTTTAGGGTTAAGGATTATAGGTATAGAAGTAATGTATAAAGGTTTCTATACGGTTTAGGGTTAGCATCTGGCAGAGCATCAGACTGCTTCTTCGCGTTTTCGGTGCCGAAAACCCTTTTCTGGTCGTGTGACTTCGCGATAACGCGTGCTCACTTACATCTCGCTGGCAGAGCCCCCGGAAGGCGATATACCTCTACTAGGTTCCCAAGTAGTACCCTTTTGCCCTTTTTATTTGGGGGTCTCCTTATTAAAGCCGAGTATTAGGAAAAAGGGTACCCTTATTATTAAGGGGTTACTGGGGAACCTAGTCTACTAACTAGTCAGGCCCCTATATTGGGCCTCTTTGCATCCCTAAACCCTAAACCCTATATTGGGGCTCTTTGCATCTCTCAGGAAGCCTGGAAACATCTTGGTGCCGCAGACGATGCAGCCCAAGCTGACCGATTTCGGGCTGGCCAGGCCAGTCAGTGCATCCCTCGCCTACGAAAATGGCATTCTACTGAACTGTCTTAGGGTTTAGGGTTTAGGGGTTTAGGGTTAAGGGTTTGGCGTTCAGAGGAGTGATCGGGTTACGGATTCAGAGCTTTTCGGGCAAGCCCCTAAACCCCTAAATCCTAAACCCCGGTAAGCGTCTCTGTCTCTGTCTCTCTGTGTGTGTGTTTCTTTGTTTGAAGAGGCGGGGGGGCACGGGCCTGCTTCTCTTGAGGTCTGCTCAGTCTTGGAAGGCCTTGCTTCTGATCGCCTAAAGCCCTCAGCCCGAAACCTTGGAATCCCAAACCCAAAATGCCGAAGCCTTGAAAAAGAAATAACGGTCACTCCCAAACTCCGCTGTAGTAGTACCCCACGCAGGAACAGTCCTAAGCCTTACAGTAACCCTGAATCGACATTTGGAGAGTTTTGCTGTGGCATCGAATAGACGGGCAGGAATACATGGTACGGTTGATGATATAAATCCTACATTACCCATAAAAAGGAATATACCATAAATTGTGCTGGATTTTTTTATCATCAACAGTATCACCAAACCTCAGCGCTCCGCAGCGTGACTACAGTTGCAGTATAACAAAGCATCAACATCAGCCAACCCCCTGTCGAAATATCCTACAGCAATAACTTACGTTGCCTTGAAGGATCTTAAGGTCATGCCAAGCAGTGGTACCTAGCAGTGGTAGTGTTCGATCTTCGTGCTGAGGGTCATGTATACTAGTATCTTCGTCACCTGCAGTCCTACAGTGGAGCTCCGTATCAAAGAGCCCTGACCGCTACACCTTAAGTCCTAAGCCGTTGCGGTATGCATTGAAGAGTCTTTGACCCCCCAAAAGCCCTGCACCAAAGCCCATGAACCCTACAAGCCTAAAGCCCCAAAGCCACCATGACCCCTCGACCCCGGTAACACAATCACAAGAGCCTGAGAAACCCAAACAGGCCTCAAACCCCTTATTCTTGCTAGTGTTATTACGACTACTGTCATTGTTATGTACATTGGTATCCTTTAAACCCTAAACCCTGCAAAAACCCTAAAAACCCTAAACCCTAAGCCCTGCAAAAACCCTAAAACCCTAAACCCTAAATCCTGCAAAAACCCCTAAACCCTAACCCTTAAACCCTAAACCCTGAAACCCTAAACCTTAAAGCCCTAAACCCGAACCCCTAAACCCTAACCCCTAAATCCTGCACCCTAAAACCCGAAACCCCTAACCCATAAACCCTAAACCATAAACCAACAAAAACCTCCAGGATGATCCGGAGCCCAGAGGACGGTGTGCTTTTCAGAGGCGGCACCCGGCGCTGGGCGGCTCCGGAGACTTGCCCCACTCGTAGCCTTGGCTGTTCAGCTGGAAGATCGGGCTTCGGGGGTTTAGGGCTTTGGGGCTTTAGGGTTCTGCGGGTTTAGGGTTTAGGGGTTTAGGGGGTTTAGGGTTTTGGGGGTTTAGCGTTTAGGGGTTTAGTCATTAGTGGTTCAGGATTTAGGGGTTTAGGGGTTTAGGGCTTGTAGGGCCCGTTACTTGACACTCTTCAGGACTCTCTTACGGGATGTGATGTAGGACTCATTCCTTCATCAAGCGGTGGGGGCCTTTGCTTCTTTTTCCCAGATCCCTGAAGCACCCCTGTACACCCCCTCCATGGCGTGTGAACCTTCAGGATCCCTAAAATCCTGAAACCATTCACCCGTAACTGGGTTCTTGTGAAGGCGTTTATTAATCTATGTTACCATAGTAGGGATCTATAGTAAGTAAGATTGTTTCCTTATTATGGTAACTTAAATTACATCCCTCAACAAGAACCCAGGTAAAGAGACGTGTGAGCCCGTGCTTTTCTTCTATCCATGAGGTTAGCACCAAGCGGCTTGACGTGCTTACCCAGACTCGAACCCCAAAGAATCACCTGAGGTTCCTGCCTAAACCCTAAACCCTAAACCGTGGGAAAGCCTGCAGGTCCCCCCGAGAACACCCTAACAGAGAAGCTGCCCCTGAAGTCCCAGCCAAGCCTCGTCAAACCGATCGACCGAAGCCTAATTGTTCCGCACACCCCTCAAAGGCAAACTGAACTTTGACATAGGCTTTCGCACTACTGATATCGTAGCTCATGACCTCTGCACGTCATGCCTGGGCGTGGAGACTCATCGTAATTTGCTCTCGTGGCTTGCCCTTGACCCGGACCTTCAGCTAATATAGGGGGCCGTAACAATAACCTATACTATTTGGGGGGGGGGGGGGGGG